AGTGATTAAACAAGTCTAAAAGATAACTCTGCACAAATAGCAAGGGAAACCTAGTAAGGCAGCACTCGATGGGAGATTGCATCCATCTTAAGCATGGAATACTCTTTGCCCAATGTTACTGTGGTATTTGTTGTTACAATAGGAGGTAGAAAAAATAAAGTTTCATAGAATATTTTTGCATAAGGCTAAAGTGTCACTTAGGTGGGTAGAATGCAAGACTGCTCAACTGTCCACTATCTCATGGGTAGGCAGCTAAGTATATTGTATAAGTGTGTATTGCGAGTAAAGTTATAGCTCAGGCCATTCCATATAGGAGAAATACTTACATAAGATACTCATCACAGTAATCAGGTACAGAGAAAAGTATCCCAGATATGTGTCCCAAGGCAAACTCAAGACCAATATGACTGGACAAAACCACCAGGAATAATTTGGTTCATAACATAGTGGAATGTCCTGTTCTACACTACCAAGTAATACCTTAGTCATACTTCCCAAATGAGGAGTATATTCACTCAGTCACATACTAGTGAGATTACCCTACCTGGTGAAAAACTCTCCATATCCACATGGGTCTGAGGAAGCAAAGGTTCCCCTGCATTCCTTTAAAAGAAATGAGAAGAATTCACATGGGGGAGAACACCAGAGAGGTTCTCGGACTGTTTCACCAAGAGCAATCATCTGGAATTAGGTTCCACACTAAAATTAGTGCTTCCTGGAAAATAGAATATACAGACACCACCAAAGCAGCATTATGGTTAACCTCATCTCAACATTGAGCACTGAACAGGGGCAGATGGACTTAATACTTTTCATACCACCACCCCTGTTGGACGCAGATTTTGCATAAAAATATCCTGTGAAGCAACATTGGCCAACTTAGCAGGCTTCATCATATTCATAATACAGAAATATATATATATATTAAATAAGATGCTTCTGAAACCTGAAAAAGCAGGTAGAATAATAGACAACTCAACATCAGAGAAGCTGTAAATACTAAAGAATAGCAACTGGAGGGAGGAGAAAACCAAGATATGTGAAACCTCACTGTGGAATAAGAAATGTAACACTAATGTAATGTGGCCATCCATGTTCCCACCAGCAAGATATCATACAGAGGCCATTGATGGCTAGAGGCAAGCGAAGCTGTGAGATGTAAAACACAATAGAATGAGACAAAAAAATAATAAAAAAGTCATTACTCACAGAAGAAGAAACAAGGCAGATTGGGTGTATAATACAACTGGGCAAAGTGGAAGGATTTATGTTAGTAGAGAAAGAAGAATCCCATGACAAGAAAATACACTGGCAAGTGCCCTAAAAAGAAAGAGGCATTATAAGTAATATAACAATGAATAGGCCATACAGGGAAGGAAGGGTGGCTGGAGTAAACATCCAATCACACTCCCAAGCCACTAAAATTTGGGGGCAGTAAGGGAAGAATATGAACTTGGTCCCTGTGGTAAATAGTGTTGAAGGAAACCACGACAAAATTAAATGACAGCTCCCATTAGAGAAAATAAGAAGAAGTAAGTCCACAGCATATAAAAAAGTTTGAACTACACCAGACACAGAGCATTCTCAGTGAGAGATGTAGTATGGGACTGGATACCAAATGTCTGAAAGCAAAATATCTAAGGGAGGTGGAAGACAAACATGTATGAAGACAAACAGTGCCAAGAAAAGAACTAGCTTATGTTCAAATGCTAATGCTCAAGGGGATTGTTGTGCATGAAGGATGTGTCCTTCTATAGGTAGCAGGCTATAGTCTAATAATAATTACATAATAGGCTGATGCAATACATGCTGAGATGTGTAGGGGTGGAAGCTTTGTTCAAGGCTTGCAACATATGCAGGAAGTTAAACAGCAGTGTGAATGAGGTAATAGCTCTTTATGATGTGGAGAGGTGAGAAGCTTTTCTGAAACAATACTTTGTGCTAAGAACCGAGACACACTGTGATATTTAACAAGTCTAAAGTTTAACATTTTCATTACCTGAAAATGTATTTCAGATAGATACTTACCACTCTGCACCACTATAAGCTATTACCTCGCACAACCATCACAAGCGTTAAATAAACTCCACTCCTACACATACATGTATTGCTCCAGCTTTTGACATAATCATCATAATGCTATAGCCCTCCACCAATAGAAAGGGGAAACAGTTTCCAAGTGCAATAATCCCAGTGATCACTTGCACGTAATCATAGGCTCAATCTTTCATTAGCACTACCTGTATTCAAGACATGTTTTTCTTCATGCACTTTTTGAGTTTCTAGTCACTTTTAATGATTGCCTTTCATCATTTGGTGCTATGTTACTTTTGTGCTCATTGCATTTTCATTACATCCACCTGATTGCAACCTCATTTTTGTCTGCTTTGGGTGCACCTCTTTCTCCTTTTTTGTCTATTTCCTTCCTACAGTTTGCTCATTTTCATCTTGTCTTTACTTCTTTATTATATCTCCACCCTTCACCTTCTCTCTGTGGTTCTTTCTTCATTGCAATTCCATTAGTTTTGATGGGGACTCCACATTCTTAATTGTTTGTCTCCTTTAGCTTCTATTTCTTTCCAGAGAATTTCTCAAGGAAACAGCTCAGAATTTGTAAAAATAAATTTTCTTAGTGACAATGAACAACTGAAAGGCCACTTGAGAATAAAGCAAACCTGTACTCCTAAGTTTTCTTTTAAATATCAACTAATCAGATAATTGATATTCAAGAGCCATCAAGAGGTACATTCAAAATCTAGAAGATGCTCTAAAAGAAGTAAAAATCAGCATCTCAAAATACCTCAGGCACAGACCAGACCTCAAGTAGAACATGCACTGTTTCAGGCTAGAAAAAAAAAATATAAACAAACTCAAATATCCAGAGGAATATTTTGTTCATTTACATAAATCTCCAATTTCAGCAAGAAACATACAGAAAACAGAAAACTCTACAATCCATTTTGATATTTTGAAGTTCCATTACTGTACTTGCTTTCTTGTCTTATTTTTGTTTATTTCAATAAATTTCAATTATGAGAATATATACTTTATATCCATTAAAGAATGGGTTTCAGTTGAATGCAAAACTTTGGAAGGAATATATTCCTTTCAGCTAGATTTATCAAACTAGAAAAATATCACAAAAAATGAACATTGTTAATTTTTTAGATTCATCATTCAATCTTTCTTTCTCATAATATCTTGCAATTACTGTAAATCAGTTTTCCTAAGATTGGGAATGCAACACTTCTGTCACACCTATAGCTGATTTGTGTAAAAAACACCAAAAGTACTTAATGTTGCAGTCACTACTACCAAAGACCTCTTGCACATCTACCTTCTAATCACACTCTCAATAGTATTAGGATAAAATATTTCATATACTGAATAAGAAAATAATCCCCATAAATTAAGGAAATGA